CCACATAAGAAAAAAGCCGGAAGTGGTGCTGTGGCTCAAGTGGTAGAGCGCTAGCCTTGAGCTGAAGAGCTGAGGGACAGCGCCCAGGCTCAGAGTTCAGGCCCCGCGACCGGACCAAAAAACAAAACAAAACAAAAAAACAGAAGCAGGGCTGGGAAGGTGGCTCAGTGGTAGAATGCCTGCCTTGTATGCATGAGGCCCTGGGTTCAATTCCTCAGCACCACATAAGCAGAAAAAGCCCGAGGTAGTGCTGTGGCTCAAGTGGTAGAGCAATAGCCTTCAGCTGAATTGCTGAGGGATAGTGCCCAGGCCCAGAGTTCAGGCCTCACAAGCAACAATAAATAAATAAAACCAGAAGCAAACTGACCTTAACAGCCACATTCTAAAGTGACTTTACATCAACAGCCAACGTTACTTTCAAGAATGGGACATCCCTCTACCCCCAAAAAAGAATGGGACATTCCAAAGTTCTGATGTGCCACAGAAACTTTTATCCCTCAGAACACTTTAACATTAAAAAATATTCATAAATCTGTTTTATAGCTGTGAGAAAAAAAAAGTCCAGCTGAAAAGTAAGAATTAGAGAAATTAATGAAAGAAAGAGAGTAATAGGGGGAAACAATAAAATAGATGACATAATAGGGTAAAAAATGGAGAAACAGCTGCTACATAAGGTTTAAGAAGTCTGTAACAGTACTTTTAAACCAAGTTTTGAAAAGCAAGGCAACATCATTTTTGTTCAATAAAACAGCACATACTTTTTTACATATTTTAATCTACAATAAAGGATTGTAAAGGTGATGTACAGAGGGATTATAGTTAAATAGTTACACAGGTCAGGTAATGAGTACACTGAACACAGCAATGCCTCAGATCACAATATTGTCTGGGCATATCTCATAATTGAAACGCTAATTTAAAGCAGAAAGATTGTGTCCAACTTAAAGCCACTTTGGAAAAGATAGCAACAGGAAGTATTTGCACTCTAGATGGGTGTGTCAAGCAGTGAACAATTAGTAAATACTAACTGTATACCTATTCATTTACATAAAAGACACTATGTATGTTATTTTTAAAGGCTTAATATTAATGGTAGATTTTCTTACTCCACAACTATTTAAGGAGAAAAACTGATGAACATGAAGGAAATTC